CCTCAGTAAAAACATTAACAAAATGCCCTTACAGTTATAGATATATATATATATATATATATATATATATATAAAGTGTTGATACAGTTATTCATACAAACTAGGCCCAGCCAATAATGGTGTACAAAGAAATCTGATGTTGACTGAATTTTATCCAACATAAATATAATTTAAAACTTTGTCCCGTTTTAATTTAAAACGGGACATTGATTTTCTTTACAATCTTTTTTAGGTGTAATGTAAGTAAAAAATAATAGTGCTTTATGTCCAGTTTTCTATAAACGGCTGCATTTGAATAAATTGAAGCCCCTAGCTATTGTAACTAGCTCTTGCTCCTTTACCTTTCATGGTATCAATGGTAAGACCAGCCTTTAATTCATATCGTTATGTAGTGAAAATAAACATGAATGATGCAGTTAAGAGCCTCACTGCCTAAAGAACAACAGGAAGAATAGAGGCTCCTGTTCCAACCTAATTCTTTTAATCTTTTGCTGTATTTGGACAGCACTTATCATGGCAAACACAGGCGCACCTTTAGTGTGGCTTAAGAGTTCCTAACAATGGGAAAATGGGACAGGCCCGTCCGACCAGTCTTTATTCAGTAATTTGTCTTCTAATTTAAAATGTTGCTTTTTCATTATTTCTGTACTGTTAATGCAGATTTAAACTTTTTTCTAAGTTTCAGAAGACATCTCAGAGCTGCAGAAAAAGTCGATTCATCATAAAATGGTTGCATTTCTTTATTTTAAACACTAGGGGGCATGCTTAATACATCAGAAGAAATAATGGGATTTATTTTCTTATCATTCACATTACAATGTAATGTATCAGAAAGATATCATTATGGACTTTTTGGCCTCCCTCAAAAGAAAAGATCAGTAAAACAAAGAATAGAAATAAAACATAACCATATTAAGACTTTACATTAACTGTCATTAATTTTAGCTACCTGTTTTATGCCTAATGCGACATTTACACTAACTATAAACAGTATATTCTTAGCCCAAACCTTAACCTTAAACTAATCATCATGATACCTTTATGTGAGTTGGGGATGTCTGACTTAAGTTGACTGTAAAAAGGCAGTTTAGGAACATAAGGAACAACCATATCTCTGATAGAAGATGGAGCTTGGCCATTTAAAGTTTCATGTGTGAGAAGGAGGATTTTAAATTCTTTTCTGGATTTAACAGGAAGCCAATGAAGAGAGGCTAGGGTAGGAGAGATATGATCTCTCCTATCCTAGCTCTCTTAATTATCTGCATATAATTGTATTTTAATTTGGCCAGACATTTGGTAAATTATTTAAATAAAGAATGAATAAAATCAGTCTTAGTATCGAGCCTTGTGGGACTCAAACAGCAATTATAATTTTGGAAATTTGCTAATTTTAGAAATCTCATGATCACAATTTTGAATTTTGACAAATAATAGCTCTTTAAACATTATACTTTAAAGCAACACTAATGACTATTATCTAAGGTAAATAACATAGATTGTAGCTCAGCTAACATCTATTTAGAATAAAACATTGAATAAACATTTGGATATGTGCTCTACAGCAACACCGTATAACTTTTAGCTTCTAGGCCATTGGACCTTTGCTTTTTTCTCCATCTGTGTTTTTGAATCTGATAGCAGACCACTTAAGACCAGCAGATTGAGAAGTTATGGAGTTACTTGTAAAAAAGACAAAGCCACATCCTGTCAAGGCTCAGAACTGAATACCCAGTATTCAAGGCAGACAGAAAGTTAGATGTCTCAAAAAGTGTTTATTTGAAAATGACGGATTGGGAGTGGGCAGCTCGGGCTTCTAAGGCAGGAACCTCTGCAGGAGGAAAACATAGGTTAGTGACCACGTTAATCTGGCGAAGGATGATTACGAACGTGTGAGTCACTAACCTGGTCTTAAAGTTCACTCTGTGCCCAGAAGAAGAAGTGGATTCTGCCTGCATGGCTGCCAACACGACGCGACAAACACTGCCCAGAGAGGGTCAGATGCTGAGGCCTTGAAGGCAGCAGAACTGACAAGAGATCAGATCCAAGCAGATCAAGGAAGGCAGGACAATACAGACGGCGAAGTCAAAGCTTATGTCGAAGAGGTTCAGGATTCCAGGCCAAAAGATCAGAGATCCTAAGAGGTACCGAAGGGAAATCCAGGTCAGTGTCAGGAAGCAGATCAAGGTACAGTCAACAGTTGAATCCAGCAGGAGTCCGAAGACAGCTCAGGAAAACATCAGAACAAAAAACGGCAGGCTTAGAGGTCCAAAGGCAGTACAGGTCAGGCAACCAGAAAGCAATCAGGTACACTAGATTACTCTCACCTAATGGTGCGTTCACACCGGACGCAGCTGGCGCGACAGAAGCAGCGAGTTTACATGCAAAGTCAATGGTTGACGCGCGTCAAGGCGCAGCAAAAGGTCCCGCGGCGTGTTTTGAGCAGCAGGAGCAGCGCGTCCGAGCAGCTGAAGCAGCGTCGGGCGCGTTTAAGCATCTGACGCGCGTGACGCACCGCAAACGCGCTGCTGCTCGAGATGGAAAAATTGAATTTTTGCTGCTCGACGCGCCGCGTCAACCAATCAGAGAAGCTGATCTGGGAGCTGGCAGAGAGAGAGACACAGCGCTGATGATCAGAGCACTATGATCACTCCTCTGAAACAGTTTATTAATGCCTAAATTAACTTCAAATGCAGAAATCTGCCGGCAGAATTTGTTGGCTTTTATTATCCTGCTGCCTGCAGTTTGGATTATTTAGATGAAAAACACCTACCAGCTGCCGCGGTGAACCGCGAGGAGGCGACCCGGCCAGAGGCTGCTGATGAAGGGATTCCTACTGTCGGCGCACGGCTGGTATGTGGGGGTCTGAGCGGCTCCGACGGAAAAAATATTGCAAGGCAGGATGATGATCTGAATGAACTGACTGCACTGATTACGTTTTCATGTGTATTTTCTCACTTAAAAACATATTAAAACTACTTTATTCCCACTGATCACAGCAAATATAGGTGCAAGGCAGAGAAAGGATAGTGAAGCTCCGCCCAACGCGCGTCAGACACACTTTTGCCAGAGCAGCAAAGCTGCTTCAGCCGCGCGTCAGAACTAACTGGTACAAGCAGCAAAAATGAAGCAGCAGACGCGATTTTTCTGCTTTTGCTGCGTCCGGTGTGAATGTAGCATGCGGCTCGAATAATGCGGCTTAGATGACTGGAAGCAGGCAGGTTAAACAGAGACCGGAGCATGTGACACAGATAAATGGTGATGA